TTCATAGCGTAAAGAAAGATGAAAAGATATTGCTATATCGTAAGTTTTGCACAAAGTCATCGTCTTATTCCAAAGATGTTTTCAAGAAGACTGGCTCAAGCACATCAAATCAGATGAAGCATGTGAAGAATGATCCAAAAACTTAATATTTTGGAAGCAGTAACGCATTATTGCAACCAATAGACTATTATCTTCAAAATTCCTCACCTTTGGAAAAACAAATAGCATCAACCTCAGATACCTCAGACGAATGATTCGTGAGGCAATTGAGGATTTTGTGTTGTCTGAAGCCAAAGCGTTTACCATTATTGAGCCAAAGTCATTTCTAACGCATTTGAAAATATTACTCAAATGTAAACGCGACAATGTCATCATCCCAAAAGCTAATGCTCCTCTGAATGGTATATTGAAAAGAGCTGAGGAGATGAAAGCAGAGCTTAAGAAGGAACTCCGCGAAAGCAAATCTACAGTACATATGTCACTGAATATGTAAACATCTCCGAATTAAATCTTTTTTTTGTCTATAATCATCCATTTTGTTGGACCAAACTGGATTCTTCACAAAAAGCTTTTAGCTTTTACACACTCAACTTATCATAGCGGAGCAAGAATGGTGGAAATTTTTGAGCAAAAATTGAAAGAATTTGAAATTGTCAGGCATGTTGGTTGTTTGACTATGGACAATGCCTCAAACAATGATACTCTAATGTTAGCTCTAGAAAATTCTATTGACAATTATTGCATTCGTGAATGAATATCAAGGCTTTGAATGTGGATGATTTAAGAATCGCATGTTTGCCACACATAATCTATTTTTCATTGAAAACGTTCTTGAAATCTTTAATAGAAGTGTACATCATACCAATCAATGATAAAATTCCAACCAATAACGCTTCTAACCTTATTCAAATGTTACGTTTTATAGTGAAAAAATTGTGTTCCAGTCTGCAACAAAGAAAGCAATTTTCTCGGCAATGAAGTTTTGTCAATTGTGAAAATTTGATGCTAATTTTGGATGTTTCAACCCGTCGGAACTCAACATATTACATGGGTGAAAAAATATTTAAATTTCATATTGGCCTCAGTATCGATACTTAAATAAAAAATATCAAGTTGTGTCAATTGCAATTCAATGATGATGAATGGTGAAGGTTTCAAAGCATTTGTGATCACTTGAAAAGGGTTGAAGAGTCCTCACAATTAATGTTAGGGGAGAAGTACCCAACGCTTTCTTTTGTAATGCCTGTGTTTGTTCAATTATTGTCATATATTGAAAGACATGTGATTATTCTTGACGATTTGAATGCAATGAAGAACGCTCTATCTACTTCACACCAAGTTCTTTCCAAGTACTATTTGTTCACATATGATTCATATTTTTATATGGTGCATGTAATTCTGGATCTGAGGTTCAAAAAAACATACCTTGAGCATACGGATTTTGAGTCGCTTTACCTAGGATTAATCAATGCTACTGTTACAATGTTAAAAAGTTGATGAGTGTGATAAAAATGTTTTGTGGCACCGATGAGATCAATTAAATTCTATCACATGAACCTCAATAGTTGGGCATGTTTGCTCATTGTAATGCAGATAATGAAACGGAAGACGAGATTTACAGATACATTTACTTACGATGTGAAGATCCTACTGGTGAACCGCTCGAATACTAGAAAGTTCATGAAAAACAATTTTTTCTTTTAAGTGCAATTGCAAATGATGTTCTTTCTATACCGGATTTGTGAGTGGCCGTTGAGCGAATTTTCAATTGAAGATGCGATGTGATTGGTATACGACGGCATTCTCTCGCTCCCGCGACTTTGAATGCTTTGATGTTTAGAAAAAGTGTTTTGAACTGATTCATAATTAATAAAGAGTGCAATTTGTTTTTGTTGGAGCACCTTTGTAATGTACTGGGTTTATGAATGAACCGAAGAAGAGGGGGAATCAGCAATGGATATTCACTTTGCAGGTGAGAGCTAAGGCCTCGACGCTGCCATCGTACACTAGAATCATACACTATATATCAAACACTATGGACATAGAATCTATGTCCATAGCCAAAATTGTCATGTACGAGACCTAGATCTGCCCTTGGGGGTTACCATCGAAAGGTGTCAGTGAGCAAGCTTAACATCAGCTCGTATCCAAAAAGTTTATGGTCTGGTAAGTAGCCACTGATTTATCGAAGAGATAGCAGAAGAGTCACTTGAGGAGCTGTAGTTAGTTGAGTCAGTACTCCTTCCATTTGAAAGCATTTCATGAATCCCGGAGACTTTATGTACATCCAGACAATATTCATTGCATACTTTGTCCCAACTCTACAGTGAGATGAAGGAATAAGAGCTGCAGATTATTTGGACAGTTGCGATGTTGCAAATGCACGATCGTTTATTAGAACTAGCTCTGTTCAAACACAAGTAACTTTTGCATAATTTTATATGCATTTCGTTTTGTGGACAAATACACGTCCATGGTGACGGTGCGTAGTGTGTATTAATTGTCGCCTAAGCTCACAGGTGATGCTAGACTCATTGAAACCTGTGGAGCGATTCCCTGCTCGATTTGCAGGGCTAGACTTCAGAGATTGACTTCTGCCAGCAAAGTGTGAATATTCCAAGACTTGCTCTTGAGATTCATTATCATATATATTTATGATGCATGGTCACGGTGGAGTGATTAATATGATCAACATTCTGTCGAGTGCCAATGCTTTGAATGCATCGATTTAGCATGCACGACGAGAGATTACAATGACGAGTTAGCGCATCAAATAGCTAGACTACAGCTCATAATCTCTTCATTTTGGATTGTGCACTGCACATAGCTTGGACGATCGCATCTTTCGGAGAAAAATCCAATCCCTTTCCATCTGAAGCAGCTCGGAGCCTGAAGAGAAATGGATCTGCGTTAGTGCTTGCCTTGTCTCCTAATGTCAAATTTCATCTCAGTCGTGTGTCTTCGCCGAATATAAATGACTTAACTGAAGAATCTTAGAGTCGACAGCCAATTTCTACCGACGCACCATCTCTAAACCGAATACATTCATTCCATCCTATCTATGATTCTAAGAAATTCTATGATCTATTGATCGATGTATCTACAATCGGGGACGAGAGTCGATGAGGACGGGCGGACAGAGCGCAAGGAGTGGGGATGGGGGTGGAAAAACCTGGGACAAGTGTGATTATGGTATAGAGAGGAATCAGACGGGCGGCCTGGGATGGCACGAGGTAATGGTTGTGGTGATGGCTGCAACGATCGCTGGGACCAAGCATTAGACTTCTGTTTAACAATTTTTAGAATGTAAGAAGGTGCGTAACTCTCAACTATAAACTAAATGGAACTGAGCTGAATTGAATTTTGTACATCCCCCTCCCACAAGCTCGAATACTTGGAGTCGACAGCCAATTTCTATCGATGCATCATCTTTGAACCGAATACATTCATTCCATCCTCTCTATGATATCTATGAAATTCTATTATCTATCGATCGATGTATCTACAATCGGAGACGGGAGTCGATGAGGACGGGCCGACAGAGCAAGGAGTCGAGGTTGAGGTGGAAGAACCTGGGACTTGTGTGATTACAGAAAGTTCACGTTTTTTAATTTTATCTGAATTGATCTGTATCCAACCTGGTTTTACGGGTCGAAGATGAAACCCGACCCGAAACCGACTCGATTGGAGACCTAGTTATCATCATTCTTTTAAAAGATAAAGTAAGTAATTTAAATTTTCACATATAAAGCTATTATCATCATCCATCAACATTTATTCATTTGGTTCAACAATTTAAATCTTGTATGTATATTGTATTAAAAATAAAATATAGAATTTTTACTCCAAAATTTTCTAGATTAGCTGCATCTTCACTTCATCTATCTATATGCAAATTTTGCATTTATGTGAAAATTTTATATTTTCAATATATGGAGTATGCATATCACTTGTTCATCATGTGAAAATAATATTCAATGAATAATTACATGATTTAAATTCATAATTTTGCTATTTTAAATAGTAGTCTCAAATGAACATGATTTTTTGAATCAAATTTCTAAGTTATACTAAAAGTATATTTAGGTCATGCATGTAATGGACATTATGGTTAAAAAAATTCTATAGATCTGTATTGAAAATTGATAATTATATATTGTCATGTATACAATAAAAGAAGCTAAATTGATGATAATCATTTGTGTTCGAGATGATTTAGATTATACGTCTCCTAATTTTTGCTATATAATAAAGATAAATCATACAGTGTGACTTGAATAAATAAATATATATATATATATATATAAGAGACTATAATATAAAGCAACAGAAGTATTTGTTATCCTCTTATATAAAACAATTACATTTTTTTAGTAAATAGCCCATCAATGCAAGAATTTTCACTTACATTGCTTACAATAGCTCAAACAAAGAGTAGATAGCATTGGTCATTTACAAATTATCGTTGAAATAAGAATAAGATCCATACACAAACAAAACTCTCAATAATATAAGTTTTAACTCTAATATAAAATATGTACTTTTGACCATCATTATGAATATAAGAAAATGGAGTTTTGGCAGTCAAGTATTGAAAATCCGTAGAGTTGCATATAATAAAATAAAAAAATATAATCCAATTGCGTTTGAAGAAGAAGCAACGTCAGAAAGATATACGGTATCATTTCAATTGCATGCAAATAAAAATGCAAAGCATGCGTGGTGCATAATCATTATTACTCTCTTAGGATATTTAGCTCAATGTTTTCTATCAAATTATGTACAATAGAACCTTCCTAAAGCGATACTGACTTAATTGATAAACTCTCTAAATATTTCCGCTCCCAACCACGTCCCTATATTGGAATTGATAAAGTTACGAAATTTGCAATTTGATAATCTTGGTCCGGTACATCATAGTAATTTATCTCTGTTCTGATTTATATTTTGTGATGCGGATGTGTGTTTGGATCTAATTTGTGTTTCTTGTGTGAGTTGCAATTGTTGTGATTGGTTTTAGAATTCAAATGTTGTGTGTGTGATTGCTATTCTGGTTTGTTTAGGTACTTTTCAATGCTACTCACGAATCAATCTCATGACGTCAGTAGCAACTGGCAAAACGTATGGTTGTTGATAAAAACCTCAGGACCCAAAGATATCAATTTAGACAGGTACTATTGTAATATCAATTGTTAATTGCTCATTCTTGTGATAAACATCTAGATAAAAGTCATAGAAGTGAAATATAATCTAATTGGAGAAAATTGCAAGGCTTTAGTGGAAGTTTTATTATACCATAAGAGTTAGTTGCTTCGGACGAGTGCATAAGTTTCACTACCAATTTGGAGCCTCGCTGGTTGATTGAGGTCATATTGGTTGATTGGAGTCTTAGCACCAATTGCAAAGACTTTGCGTCGGAAAGGTAGTCTCATGTGCTGTGTGTGGATCCAAAATCCTGTTTCCATTTCGTGTGATTTGAAAGCATCTTAGGTTTCTTCTCTCTGAGCGCCTTTCGCTGATACGTATAATAATCCTACTTATGTCAAGGCTGTGTGCATGGTAGATATGCCACTTCTTTGTGAAACAGTAGTTGAAACCTCTTCGTGCTATATTTCGCTTGGGCAATCCAGCAAATATTGAAAGGCGAACTTTAAACCTTGAAGATTGTTGAAGAAGTTTATCGATAAGAAACCTCGACTTTACTTCACAACATTAGTACTATACTTCTGATGCTCAGTTGGATTAAGGTGGACAGAAGGAGAGTTGAAGATTACACACTCGAAGGAAGAAATTTGGACGTTGCTGCAAGTACCAGGCATGCTTTCAGAAGAAAATGGTCTGTCGGGGGTTGAAACATTCAGCAGTGTGGGATATGATGCATCAAGAAACTCTAGACGGGTTGGCGATCGAACGAAAGTGTGGGATTTCGATTTCCTATGGAGCGAGCGTCATATGTTTCCTGAGCAGCTAGAACCACTCCGTCAGGTGGGTGACCCTTTGGCAGATGAATGCATGAAAGCTCTTGACGTGAAGCCTGGCAGCGATGCCCTCGACATTATCGGCAGTTATCTTTCCCAACCAATCTGCGAACAATGTTCCAAAGCCCCGAGAATTTTCCAAGAGAACATTACCACCGTTCCTGAATGGGTGGACTGGGACCTTATTCACCAAGGCCAGAATGTGTACTGGTACGAGCACCGTCCCTAAACTACAAGCATCTCACAACAACACCCAATTAAAGTCTAGTACATACTTGAGCATCTCAGCCACTGCGCACGATTGGCTATTTTCAGATGTTTGTGCTGCAGCTCCTCTGATGAATATGCAAATCTACCGGAATCAAGAACATGGACTCTGCTCTAACACCATCCATACCCATAAGAAGATGCGAGAACCCTAAATGTAAGTGTCTACTGTGCGAAGAAAATTTGATCGTTCGCATCTGCAGGACATACTCAGGACCCATCAATGTCATCCTACTTCACTACTCTCTGGCTGGTGGCTTTTCGGCTCCGCGTATTACTAAGACTCTCACGTGTACGAAATACTTCACCAGTCCAGATCAGTCGTATCGAAGGCTTTTCGAAACCCTACAGTTTGTAATTTACTGCATGAAAGGTACGGAGGCTTTGAGATGTATGACGGGAGTGGGATGGCAGTCCACAATCAGGGTGCGTCTGCTCCACACTCAAGTTCGACTTCGAATCCTCTCTCTAGCACACTCTCATCCGAATTACTACTCTGTGCAAGAAAACGGGATTCCCATAAATCAAGAAGACAGTATGTCAACTCTGTGTGCGTTCTCGATCTGCGTGATCATGGGGATGGAGAGAATGGGCATCAGCCTGACGAGAGAAGAAGTGAACGCCTATCTTCACCTATGGCGTCTGATAGGCTACTACATGGGAATACTTCCAAGCAACGACCCGCTCAAGTCTCGAGAGGATGCGATGGCCGCATTCGAATCATTTGTGAACCACCTCGTCTATCCGGACGAAGTCTCGGCAGCGATGACTAGGTCGATTCTCGCAGCAGTGGCAGATAAAGCTCCGATGCGATGGTCGCTGGACTTCCACTCGGCCATTTGCAGGGCTTTGCTTGGGGATGCGTTAAGCGACGCTCTCAAAATAGAGAAATCGAATTGGAAGAACAGGCTGAGGGTGACCGCCTTGTTCGCGACGTTTCGATGGTGTTTAATGCGCAAGCCAAGTTGGTTCCTTCCTCACTGGATCCGACTCTCCAGGGACTACACGTCGCGGATGGTCCAGTCGCGGACTTCGTCGCTGCCGTGTGACTTCACATTGCAAATGGTGCCAGCTGTTGCCCTTAATTAGCAATTTTCCATAGTATTTCTCCCGTCTAATATACAGTACCGACATCTGCAATCAATGCCTCCCGGAATACTTAACACTTCTGATACTGTTTCATTCCAGGAAGTATCGGTTACTAAAGGTATTCGCAAACGTGCAACCGGAAGTCATAACTTCTTGGCCTCTCGCAGTTTTCCTCGTAACACCACCCCTATGAAGGAGAACCAACTATGCCACTAAAAAGGAAGACCCTTAGAAAGTTGGAAGCTCGAATTTTAAACGTGTAGATCTATGTGACGACGAGGCTTTACTGGTCCACATATGGCTTTGGACTGTCCTCAGAGTGCACTGCTTTGCGTATGTTTGAGTTTGTTAGTTAAAGTTGTTACAGTAGTTACGCATTTTGATAAGATGTATGTACACTTCTCTTAGTTTTGGACTGATTTTTCCCATTTTCTTTCTAAACTTGTGCTTTTAATGGGCATTACTACTCCTTATTTTTTCCTACAAATGTCCTTAGAGGTCTTTACTACACACTCGATGGGCAACATCTCAGGCCTAGCATGGAGGTTTTGCATTTATCCAATCGTCAGAAGTGCAGCGGATATGAATTCCTGTTAGATGGAGTGAACGCAAAAATTATTCTAAGACCTGTGTAATTGCAATGAATCTATTTTCTGCACTTCTAAAAGGAGTCTAAATATGAAATTGGCGATTACTTGATTAGAGCGAGAATAAGAGAGAATACATGAGTTTATCAGTTCTTCTTATAGCGTGGAGTAATATTTTGCCAAATTTAAAACTCAAAGAGACAACTTTTAAAAAAGTTTGGTACAACTGTTACCAAAATTGAATAGTAAAGACAATTTTCCAAATGTAATTTTTTTTTAAAAAAATTTATCTTTTAGTGTCAATTCTAAATCAAACACACATTTCAAATGTTTTTTATTCAAATCAAAACATAATCAATTTTTAAAACAAATTTTAAAATTTTTTGGACCACCAGGTGAACTTTTGTTGGCAAATTTAGAGTGGCTAATCTCTTCCTCTTAGTGATTTGATTGAATTAGAATAAAGTTGAAAATTTATCAACATTACAATAAGTTATTAAGAATTGCTTTTATATTATTTTTTAATTGTTAAAATATTTTCATGTAAGTAGTTGTTTGAGTAGATGAAAAAAAAGATATTCCTTGGAATTGATTATCTTTATTTTTTCTTTGTGAGATTATAATTTCATGTATTATAATAAAGACTTCTATCTCAATACTTGAGCTATAAATCTTTGAAACATGTTTCACATATTTTTATCTTGCAATTTGGTTTAATGATGTAAACGTAATGTTTAAATAGGACACTTAAAAACAAGAAAGTATTGATACAAAGGTATCACATTTTTTATCTTATTTATATTTTGGCATACATCATTCAATTCAAAACATGAGAATCAATAACGTTCAAGTTATATATTCTTCTAAATACTATTTTTTCAAGATTTTCATGTTCTTGATAGTCTAAAATCTCAAAGTTTATGAAATAATATAGATTTTACATAAACTTACATGTTGTGTGCATTGTTTTGTAAGCAACAATATACACAACGATACGAGATTACTTGATTCATCATAACCATCATCCAGAATCTAAACAAAGAAGATTTTTACTAAATTCTAAAAATTATCCAAGGAATATTATGTCTTGTACTACTTTATATTGAACAGAAAGAATAATAATTAACTTAAAAAATCCTAAATCCTACCCTAAATAAGGTTAAGATAATTAAACTTTAATCCAAACTTATTATATACTAATAATCTTCACTTTAATTCATGTGGTGATGATTGTAACGTTCATAATTCATATAAATCCAAGATTCTACCAAAATAAACAAAAAGTAAATATAACTATGTCTTAGCCAAAAACAAATAGATAATATATATTTAGAGATATAAAAATTGCTAATTGACTATACTCGTGTTCCTCATTACAAATTTGCATGTCAGCACAATTTTAACTGAAATTTTTCAAAAAAATCATTTCGATCAAAACTTCAATTAGATTGAATTTGTCCTTGATGTTGATTAACTCAATTACTTTATCATGAACTTCATATTTGCTGAATGATACATGATGTGAATGTGTTTCACTTTAGCTTTCATAATGAAAATCAACAATCTAATCTTAACAATTTTATCTGAATGATTAGCCTATTCAATAAAATAACTTTTTTGTTGTTTTTGCTATCAATACATATTCAGCATGTGTTGTGAACTTCACTACGCATTTAGCAAAGTAGATTTTTAGCTTAAACATATAAGTTCAAATGCTAACACATGTCAAGCTATAGATATGACTTTGTCAACATTTTGTTCATAATTAGCATCAACAATGTCTATCAAAAAATTGATTTTTAATTGATTTAACAAAAAAAAATCATATTACTTGATAGGTTTCAAATATATGAATATTCATTTCACAACTTCTCAGTACATACTTCATGAATTTGAAATATATGCTCATCTTGCCTATAGATAGAGCAATATCATGTCTTGTGTACAATATCAAATACATGAAGTTGTTTACATTTTTGTCATGAACAAAATTTAAGCATTTAATTAACAAAATTTGTCTCTTTTGAATAACATTTATTAACTATTGAGCTACAAAGTGTTTGAAGGGCTTGAAATCCAGAGCTTTCAACCAACTGCACAAAGAACATGAGATACTTTGTGGTTCCAAAGGGCTAGGAACTGGGGATTGGTTGACAGGACCCTGCGGGGTGTACAGTCAAACAGGTGCTCAGGTTGACTGTTAGAGAAAAAAACCTGCCAGGAAAAAAAAAATTCACAAAAAAAGAAAAAAATTGACAACAATGGGTTTGAGGTATATCAAACTAAATAAGGTTCCACCGCAAAAATATTCATATACTTAAATAGTTTGCTATTGTATACTTGTCAAGCATACATTGAATGTGTAAATTGAGACCGGTATGTGCAACTTGTTGCAATAATTAAAATGATTATGGATGTAGCAATTGCAATTGTTAATGGATCTCTAGAACATTAAATTTAGATAAAAAAACCAGCTTTGAGAAGAAAAATCAAGAAAAGTCAGGTTGTTGATAACTGAAATAATTATGTGAACTGAAGCAATGGCTTGAGTCGTGAAATAGAAGATTTGATGATTACTTGAAAGCACAGGGCATTTCATAGAGTGTGTATGATCCATGTGTATACATTGAAAATTATACTATTGTTAAAATTAATAGTAGAATTACTAATCTTAGTTTTATTAGTATTTTGCATGAATGACATTTTCATCTTGTCAAATAATCAATTTAACGTCGATAGATGCAAGCAAAAACAAAAATTTGCATTTCAGATGAAAGATTTGGGTAAATCCAAAAGTGATTTAAGATGTATATTCAAAGAAATTTGAAGAAGAACAGTTTATGGTTGAATCAAGTAAGTTAGTTCAATGTATGCTTGACATGTTTAACATGTAAGATTCTAGAAAAATATGTGTTTATTTGAAATCATACTTCAAACGTAGCTCAATTGTTGTCTACCTTCAAAATGATAGTTAGAATGCAAATCAAGTGATAAACAACAAAGTGAATCACATTGATATAAGTAATTATTAATAAGATATGAATGTTATAATATAAATATTGAGCTAATAAATATTGACATTAAATTTAGTCTAGATGATGAGTTGATTAAGTTATTTTTCATAAGTTTTAATAATCTTCATAACCTACATAATTACTTGCGAGATATATACTTCTGGAAGGAAATCTACACGTAAAACACTCTCTACACTTAAGCTAACTAGAACAAAGTGACAATCAAACTATGATAAAGTAAACATGTAAAGAGTTAACAAAATTTGCTAGTAAAGTCTACTTGTACTACTAATACAAAATCTGCATAATAGCACAATGTTTATTAAAACTCTAGAAAAGTAATAACTTTTGTCAATGCATCAAGTGGATTGAACATATCTTGACAAGCAAACCACATATTTTGTTTGTCGGTGTCAATTTTCTGTTTATGTGTCTTCATTCTCATGCTTTTTGGATTCTCCTTGTGCATTTGTTTTTACAATCAATATATAAATATATAAATAAATACATTTCCTCTTTTTTAAGGAAAATAATTTGCATTATCAACACTGAACAATGCAATTTATGCATAGATATGATATGAAACACCCTTACATATGATAGAGAACATTCCATAAGTTTGTCCACATCCTAGTATGGAAATTAGAAGAGGTCAAAATAGTATCAGAACTTAACAGAACTTAGTCATCAGTATGTTATCATTGTTGGCTTGTGCTATTCTCATATACAAATTTCTTGATTTGGTCTAGATTAATTTTGATGTTGATTGTGGTTGTGATGTGTTAGAACTGCTTCGGAGTTTCCCTTGCGAAGAACATTCCATTCTCTTTCTTTTCATCTGCTTAAATGTTCTTTACACTGTGATAGGTTTAAATTTTTTGTTATGAGACGTAATCATCACATTTTAAACTTAAAAATGGATACAGAAAGAGAGAGAAGAAAAAGGGCTTGAATTTCTCCTTAGTATTTTCTGCGATTTCCGCTCCCAAAGTCCGAATTTCTATGAATCTTGTGAACATAAAGAAAAACAAAAACCAAGTTCTTGTTGATAGAAGGCTAGAAAGTTGGTAAATTCCACCAACTCATTTTCAAGATTTTCACATAAATCATACACAGTATTGTACTTACATTCCAAGTTGAAAGAATGTCAAATGAACTTTATGGTAGATCAAAAGCAAATTGCCCCGGGAAGGATATGGTTCAGAAGGTTCGTATTGACCCAAGGTCTTGCTATTGCTGACTATGTACTGACTCAAGGTCTTGCCTATTGCTGACTATGTACTGACTTAAATCAACGACAACTGTAGACTTTGCCTATGGGACGGATGCCCTGATGACCGGGGATAAGCGCCCCAGTGAGAGGCCAAATACATTCATTCGCACCTGCATAATGTCCGAATCGAAACTGAACATCACTGTTGAGACCAGGAGCAGTGCGTTATTCACTGGGGCGCTTATCCCCGCTCATTAGGATATCCGTCCCATAGGCAAAGTCTACCGTTGTCGTGCAATAGGCAAGACCATGGGTCAATACGAGCCTTCAATACGAGCAGTGCGTTATTCCTGTCTCATTGGAAGCAGTAATTGCGTCAAGTGGTTTCAGATTTTATTTTTGTTTCACTGCAAGTTTTGGAATCTGTTCCCTGCTGAACTAAACGTGAACATCGGGACGCCTAAGTCTGGAGTGATGAACTGTCAACATGTGAAGACATCTCGGCCTTCATGGAGTAAAGTCTTCACGGCGCAGCTTGACCAGTAGTGGTCTTATCGTGCAGGAAGATTTCTCTAACCGTAACCTTGGGCTTGTAAAAGCAGTATATCCACGATGCCTCGTCCCTTCTTTACTATCAAACGCGTAGAAATTCGAGGCCACCTCAAACTAATTTAGTACTGACATTCCACCATGCTGGTCTTATGTTGTCTCAATGACCATCACTGGTGAAATTTCTCAATCTGTCAAGAACAAGAGTGAATTGCTGACTCTGCTCCATAAGCGAGGTACCAGGTAGAGGATGGTTGATGAGCTTCAA